ATATATATAGCACGACTCCTTGCAGCTAGTGGATATCAAATATAATTTGCACATGCCTGTTTTTTAATCATTTGTTCAGTTGTGCACTTTAATCATTGTAGGATGAATGCATGATTGCACATAAATCAGCAAATGTGTCTTAAATGAGCACAGGGAGAGACATGCCCCTCTGCCCCTGCCTCTGGCAAAAACTGAAAATTGAGGACAAAATGAAAGACTCTCTGTGAGCATGTGTTATGAGTGCTTATTAGCTCAGGAAAGAATCCAGTGATGCCTGTGAAAAGTTTGATAACTCAAATAGAGCAGTGCTGCTTAAATGATAGCCATCTATTTCTCCTTTCCACTGGCTAAACAGAAATGGTGCTCCCTAAGCGGGGCGGTTTAGCCATGCATACAAAGTAGACAGTCTGTGTCTGCTGTCAACCGCAAGGAAGTGTGTGTCCCAACACGCAAGACAACAGCACCACTCACTGACAGGGCTGACAAGTCCAATCACTGCAACTACAAAAAGATGCTCTCTGATGAAAACAATAGGTCACTGTGTTTTGTTTTGTTCTGATTTACCTTTGACGTATTTTAGAGTTTTTAAGTTTATGCCCAGCCATCAGCCCCTGGAGCCTGTCTTCCCCGTCCTTCCTACAAAAAGCAGAGCATTCCCTGTAAGGGTTGGCAAGTGTTGGTCTCTGGCTGTTTGCGACCACTTTTCTGCTGTGGTTGACAACACATGATGGGCAGGGCCAAATGAGAAGGAGGGGACAGAATTTGATCTGGGTCACCTTTCTCAGTGCACAACATGAGCTAAGCCTTAGGAAACAGCGAGGTAAAGAAACAGAAATAAGAGTATTACTGTGTGCTAGAAGATTGTATTGACAGTAATGGCACCTGGAGCGTTTGTGCTAGGATCAAAACTCTACTAGTTTTTGGTTTCCATGTTTCCTTATGTAAAAATAGCTGTACCAAGTTAGCACATACTCCATTACCTGCCTTACCATTAAAACCTCATTTAAGAAATTTTTTTAAATTGGTATCTTACTATGTATTTTTAAACTTAGCATTTTAGTGTTGTTGGGATTTGTTGGGTTTTTCCTCTTTAATAATAATAATGATAGTAAGGTCTAGACCTTACTTTGTAAGGTGTCCTGAGATGACTTTTGTTGTGCTTTGGTGCCACACAAATAAAACTGAATTGAATCGAATTCTAGTTTATAGATAATATAGGCTACTATTGGCTTATTATCACTGCTGCAATAATATGTAAGCTGCATTGCATGCTGGTTGAGGCAGAACTAATTTGAATAGTTTCCAACAGTCAGTCGTGGAAGATCTCTCATCCGCTAAAACTCTGAAACAGTGGTCACTAGACCAAAGAGGATGTGTTCTTTGGCAGAGAAATTGGGACAAACAAAGAGCAAAACCCAGGATTAATATCAGTTTGACTTTTTGAACTGGAGAGTGTTAAAAAAACAGACACCCCAAATTGGATTCTAATGCATTCTACTAGATTTCCAAATTTAAATGATACTCTGCTAACACTCACTTTGGACTGGATGCTGCATTTTGCAAAATTTGTCATGACCAGGGATCCGTAGTTTATGTTATCGTTGGGAAACAGGATGTGATGGGAGGATCAAAGACCATTTAGGAGCAGCTTATGGTGTCACTTTGTTTTGAGTATCACTGAACTTTCTAGCAGCTGAAAATGAATTAAGTAGAGTAGCTTTAAGTACAGTACTTGATTACATCAATTTTTGCCACTGCTACTCTTGCTTAAAGCATCAGCAACAGTAATAAAAGGATTATTGAATTTTTCCATTCCACATATAATTAACTTTAGTAAAAATGTAATATGATTTATCATGCCAGACATGAGAAACATAGAAATTAAAAATCAGAATGCCTTCCAGCTGGCCCTGTCTGACCCTGACCAAAACCTGATGCTCTCATACTGCACAGAAGAACATATCCTAAGAATGATATCCTAAAAAATATTGCAATATGTAAAACAAAAACAACAACAAAAAACAAACAAGCAAACAAAAACTAAACCAAAAAAAGTTGGCTACATGGAAAAAGAAACAAAAACAAAAAAAAATTTAAGCGATAAAAAAGAATCTCATTTAGCTAGACCTCAGCTTGTATGATTTTCTGTTCCACGCTGCAGGAACATGTATTCCTGTAAAACATGCTGTGCTCCTTTGGCACAGCTCTGCAGTGCTTTTACCAGCTTGCTGCAGCTCGAGGCCATGAGTGAGAGCATCAGAGGATGGACAGTGTCCGTGTGTGTGTCCCCAGAGGGGTGGACTGTATGCTTCAATGATGTCTGCAGCTGTAACGTTGAAAGATGAATTTATCTCTCATCTATTCTTCCCCATCTAGATTGTATCAGGATTAACTGTACCTCCAGTAAGTTACTGTTCACCTTTCTTCTTCTTCTTCTTCTTTTCTAACTCTTACTGTGTCTGGACATTAATGTTTTAGATGTGCTGTTATGTAGCCATGTTTGCAGTTTCTTCTCTGCAGCCATTATATGACTCTGACATTCAAGTATGCCAAACTATGGCAATGGAAATTTAATCAGTGCAATGAAATATATCTGACTTGCAACTTGCATCGACATAGACGTTACATTTTATCTTATCAGTTCCAAGAGGCACATAACAAATGTTTGGTGTATCAGCTGTTCGGGAGATTAATGAGCAGAGTTGGGGAGGTGGAGGGAGGCTTGAAATAATGTCAAACCCAAATATGGAAGTTTGCTGTGACCAAATTGGTTCTAATTAATACATTTTTCACTTATGAATTCAGGCAGATGTAAATCTCATGCTTTAGAAGCGCAGGTTCCTGTCTCCCCCTCACCTTTTTGTTTCTCGTTTCCTTTCTTCCTCAGTATTTCATGTCGGTTGTAAATTCATGAGGCCATTCAAAGCACAGAGGAAACACAGAATGTGATTTTATTATTCTCATTAACCTGCTTTGCAGAGCAGAAAGAAAACAGATGAAGAGGAGAGAATCGAGTTTATTGTGGGATTCATGGTGGATAGGTGTGTGTTTGTGTGTGAGTTTCAACAAAGTGGTGACATTACAGTATTCTGGGAGGTAAATGTCCCTAAGATGTATTATTCAGGAGCAGTAATGAATTAATAATTACTTCTCTGGAGTCATAATATGTGAACCTTCTTCCTGTTTAGTGATTCTGAAGTAACAGACACACTCTTACGACCAGTAAATACCAGAATAAATACAGAAAATAGACAGTTTAAGCTCTATAATAGAGTGCCAGTGTCACAAACTGTATGTAAGGACAAACTCTGTTCTCTGACATGTTGTGTGTGAGGTGTTAAGTATTTGAAGGTTACTGCATGATGAGACTTGCACAGAAAACGCCCCCGCGTAGAATCACATGATGTGACCTCCAGACCTGCTTCTGTGAGCCAGCCATTTTCATCACCTTTCTAAATGCTAAATAACATTGTTTATGCATCTTGGATCACATCACTTGTTTGTGTATGCAGATAAAAAGCTTTAAGTTCTAATTCCCCCTCGATGCTTTAAAAGGTCATGAGGCTAGTGTGAAGACATGATCTCTACACACATGGACACAATTAGTTATTATGCTGTTACAGTATCACTATTTGATGATTTATTTTGATAGTTAATGACTTATCTTAACTGAGTTTCCTGCATTATTTAGTAAAATAGACAGTAGCAGAGTCATCTAATTTACTGTTGAACTGTTGAAAAAAAAAAGCTGGCTGAATGAAAATAGTTTTAAAAATACATATTTATAAGATGTACACCAATGCAGGTACAAGAGTTGCTTTGATCACTAGCATTAATAGTGTAGTTTAAAGCAATGAGAGTTAATCAGTGATTTCTCTTAGGCTGGGAAATAATATAAAATGAAAGAAGATCATACTGTGTTTTTAACAATTAAATAATTTTATGTTGACATGTTATATTGGTCTGAAATCTGTATGTGTACATTTTCTTAGTGTAGTTTTTTATTCCATAAAAAAAATATTTGTCATTAAAATAATCAAATAAAGTCAGTTTTGCAGAATTAATTTATAGAAATTTCAAAATCCAGGCCCAGTTTTATCATAACTAAATGATTAATTTAAATTCTTGGAAAGCTGTGCACTTCCAATTATGAAGAGTTAGCAATTAATACATTTTTCTAGGCTATTATTTTTGTCTGTGTTATTTTTGTCCTCTTTCTTTTTTCTGTTTTAATTAATGTGTCTTGTCAGGCACTGCAGCTCTGGTCAGCTCAGTGGATGAAGAATTTCAGCACCAACTCAAAGAACACATTGTAAGATTTAGTGAGGTTGTGGCTGCAATAACAGGCTTGACCGCTACAGTACTCCGGTTAGAGACTCTCGAGTCATCAGATTAACCATGACTGTTTATTTCGTGAGAGCATACATATCAGTCATCTGCAACACATAAAGAATATAAGGCGTGCAACACATAAAGAATATAAGGCGTGCATAAGTTCAACAGCTCGCCAACACACAAACACACACCTATCCACCATGAATCATGTGGTAATAAATCATCTAGTGATAGTGATGGTATCACTATGACAATGGTTAAATGGGCAATAGAGGGGATATGCAAACCATTAACCCATGTTTTTAACATGTCGTTTCGACTTGGGCAGTTCCCCAATAATATGAAAATAGCAAAGGTTATTCCACTGTATAAATCTGGTGATAAGCACAACTTCACAAATTATAGACCGGTTTCTCTGTTGTCACAATTTTCAAAAATTCTGGAAAAACTCTTTAATAACAGATTAGACACATTTATTGGTAAACATAAAATCCTCTCTGATTGCCAATACGGTTTTAGGTCGAACCGATCGACATCTTTGGCCATTACCGACCTGATGGAGGACATTACAAGTGCTATGGATGAGAAGAAATACACGATGGGAATATTTATTGACCTAAAAAAAGCATTTGACACAATCAATCATGAATTATTAATGGACAAGTTAGAAAAATATGGGATCAGAGGAATGGTTCTGAAATGGATTAGAAGTTATTTGACACAGAGGCGTCAATTTGTGAAGTTGGGTGAATACCAATCGAGTGAGCTGGACATTGTATGTGGAGTGCCTCAGGGTTCTGTTTTGGGACCTAAATTATTTATATTATACATTAATGATATATGCAAGGTTTCTGATTTAGTGAAAGTGGTTTTGTTTGCTGATGACACTACCATATGGGCATCAGGTGAAAACCTACAACAACTCTCTGGACGGGTTTCACAGGAACTTGAGAAGATAAAGAAATGGTGTGACAGTAACATTCTATCTCTGAATATGGATAAAAC